TGTGTAGGGCAAGTGGTTTTAGGGTGGGACATACGCACCGCTGCAGCTCACTGTAGAGCATTATCATTGTCGGCACGCCCATGAGCATCAGCACAAAGGCGTTTACAATGGGCTTCCACCAGCACAAAGCCGTCGCGATAATGGCCGATATCAGCATGAGCCAACTAAAGGCTTTCCTATATTAAGTAGACAAGCGTTAGAAACTATCTATCATGGAGGAATTCTCTTTGCATATAATATCATTTATCAAACAAACTTACCGATCGTTCTTCACGAACTTGGGATAGTAGCGCTTGGGATAGAAGAGCGAGAATCCGGCTATAAACACCCATAATATGGCCAATTCATCGAGCAGCTGTCCCAATAGACTCAGCGTCGCATGGAAATACATCGAGCTCAGGCCCACGACAATTAGCAGAACCCACAGCAAATGTATTCCGGGCGTGACGAATTTTCCGTATTCCTTAAACAGCATTATCAGCACTGGCGGCAGTAGAATAAACAGAAAGTTGCTGAACTGTTGCGGCAAAAAGATAAAAGCAATGAAAATGTGTTTCAATTATTAATAAGATTCAAAAACATATGGCCTACAGTTGGGAGAAAATATTTTAATTTAAATAACTAGAAAATATAGGCAATAATTTTGTACTTAATTCCAATTTTAATGAACTTTAAAATTAATAAATTCGTCACTAAAATAGCATGTGAAGTTGAACAAACTGAGGACCTCGCTGACGACGCAAAAATAATGATTACAATACATACGTCATTATTATTAAATGCCGTACGGTATAATTTCTTTTGCGTGCTCCATTCACAGTAATATAATAATAGAATAATTGCAAGTACTTTTTTAATTAAAAAATAGTAGCTTTATGGCTGATGATTTTTAAATAAAAATGAAAATTTTAAATTCATACAAAATTTAATATTAAAATTGTAGTTTTAAATAATAATGTTAATATTAGTAAAGAATTTAAAATAAATTAATTTATTTTAAATAGAATTAAAATTTATTATTTTTAATATATACAAAATACCAAATAAAATTTTATTATAATACAAATATAATTTCAAACTCAAATTTTAAATAAATAAACAATTTAAAATTAAAATTGCAAAGTAGGTAATAAACAACAAAAAACTGCCGAAAATAATTAATATTCAAAGATGGGTTTAGCTAATGCGCTGGCAAAAAAGAAAGGTGGACTCATTAATTCATGAAGCTTTGTAGAAACTCGTAAAATAGGTCGAATACTATGAGACATAATGGACGACTAGCAAATACCCTAACCAAACCGAAATCAGTGAGCCGTTGAGCTAATCTAGATTAAAATTAAATTAAGCAAATATATAAATTGATATTTGAGTATGTACATATGTATGTGCTTGTGCATGTAAGTGTGTCAAACAGTTTGTCATGCAATTTGTTCCACACACTTAACACTCTACAAAACAAACAAAGCAATTTTCAGTTCGTGTCATTTGAACATGTTTTCACCCGAAGCACGAGAACAAAGAATGACAAGAATAATTTATCAAGCAAAAGCATAATTAAAAAATTTTAAATTGTGTATAGGAGGAAGCAGAAGGAGGCAAATTGTACACACTTTTGTGTTTTTAGAAAATACATTTAACAAAGCTAAAGGCCAGAATGAAATGTGGCTAGGCGAGGCAGTCTTGATATTTATATAATACATGTAAGATTTTGATGTATTTGAAATCTGAAATATAGTATATGTGAGTTGCCCTGAGGTAGCTCATTAACTTATTGCACTTGGCCGCAATGTCTTATAAACAAATAGCAGTAGAAACAAAGGAAAACAATAAGTTAGCCATTACTCAGAATAATAAAAAAGCTAAAAGTTTCATTCATTACCGCAGGATTGTTATTAGCATTAGCATTGCATATAATTAGACCTAGCTCACAGTTAGCAATGCAATAACAATGATAATGACACTTGAAGCACACATTTTGATAATTACAAAAATTCTATTTGTTTTAGTAGAGATACAGCGACATGAGGTAATATATATGATATATGTGTATATCTATGCCGTGCATTATCTGAAAGACTTCACATTTATTGATTGATATTATAATATATTGTGTGGGAAATCTGTATCCATCAATCACATTTTATATATGTGTACATACATATCAGTCCAATTAGATAAAATTGACGTGTACAATTTATAATGAGAAGCGAAATAAACAGATGTTTTTGCTTAAAGAAAATAAACTTGGAGAAATATGTATTGAAATATATAATGCATTTTATATATATTATTATTTTCCTTAAATTATTTTTTTATGGTTTCTTTACGACTTTTATTTGAATATTCAGTATACTTAGTATAAAATGTTTTTAAATTTTACATGTTTATGTGGCTTAAATATTAAATATAAGAATTATAATCATACGGTCAATCTCTGTGATTATGAAAAGTAATTCTGATACAGGCTAATCTAATGAAATACTCTATCTATACCATAATCTCTGTGAGTTTCTCATTTTTTTTTTTTTTTTTATTTATTACAATATCAATCAAATCTCTACACTAAACTGAATTTACTAATACTCTCGTATCCGGCACGGCTAGTACAGTTTAGTTTTCTATTTATTGTTATTAATAATCTTACATATGTATACATTATAAAATACATTGTATACTCTAAAAAGTTTTGATTACGCTAACCAAAAACCAAAAATATTAAATTAAACTTTAGTTGATAGCATAAACGGGGAAAATCAGTGACAAATAATATGAGTGCACGCGTACTTTGATTCTTGTCCACACAAAGGAATCAGCGTATTACGCATGAACTTTGAGTTTTAGTTTGTGATAAATAATTAGTTCAAGTAATCAAATACGAAACAGCGATAAGAAAATGCAGTAACAAAATCGTGAAACCAATAGTACTAGTAAACTGTTAATCATAATTTTACATTATCAATTTCACACTAGAATTTCGTAAATAATTTCAGTTATGCTTAATTGTCGCACACTTGTGGCAGCCTGTGTGTGTGCAAATAACTGTAACTGCAAGTGTTGACAAGTGTTTGCTAAGAGCATCTCTGCTTTGTTTACATTTGGCATGCTTCTGTGTGAGATTTCACAAGCATGCGAAAAGGTCAAGGCTTTACAGCAGGCTATAAGCGTGTAAGTGTATGAGAGTGAGGGTGTGAGTGTGTCTATGGGTGTGATGATGTGGTGGTGAATCTCTTTCTGCAAATGCAGTGTTCATTTATGACTGACACATAACGGGACACATACATACAGACATATATCTTTATACATACGCACCGTGTTGACGAACTCTGCGATATTTGAAGATATTAAATAATTGCCCTCGCACCAATCAACGGGCGAACTTCCGGGTCGAAACAAATAAATGGCATAAATATCCATAATGCTGCCCGAGTCCATGTTGATTTAAATAAAAGTCAATAATATTAACTAAAACACTTGACTTCTGTTACGCGTCACGCTAATCGATTCGTTTAATTTAGTTTCTTAACTTCTTTGTTCTTTGAAGGCCCCTTAGTTATGTGTATTTGAATTTGAAGCAATTGTTTGCATAATAGCCTAGCAATTGCACTGATGCAGTTATTTTCGCGTGCCTCTGTACATTTATTTTGGGGCTTTAACGTTGTGCATGTTGTTCATTTTGTTTCTTGTTGTTTGATGTTCCCTTTTATTTTCTGTGTAATAGTTTCGTGAAAGTTCTGCACGTTTATATAAGCATCTTTGGTTCATTTGTGAATTTTCAAAGGACAACTGGATTGCATTTCATCTATACGCCTTGTCATTGTGCGCTACTTTTGTTCAATTTGCAAATTTGCGTAGTTGTTGTCAATTCGACGTAAAAATTGAATTTTGTATATAACTGCGTGGAGCAAACACGTCTTTCGTGTTGGCGTACGCTTTGTTTACTGTTAATGCTATGTTACTCTTGTACTCGAAATATCAGCAACCGATACGAGTAGCTTTGGCAATGAGTATTTCGTTTGAGTAAACAGTGCTAGAAAATGCTCAAAATCTACTTGCCATTCGGTGTATTTAAGACGACGTGGAAATTAAATTCATAAGTTTTGCTTGATGGTACTGCGATAAATTTTGAATAAATTAAATTAAAAAATATCAGAAAATATTGTTTACTTTAGTTCACTTTCAAAACATTAAAACTATTTTAGAACATATGAAATAATTAATAAGGATAAATAATGGACGGTGTGTTAACTATACTTGATTTTTATTAAAAATGTCTGAAATGCTGAATGTTTATATTTAAACTTGAATTTTATCCCACAGAATTATATAAATTGTAGAGGCAAAAGTCATTTTTCATGGCAGCGCACACTTAACGGCTTAAAACACCACTCAAAGGTATCGATATATTGAAATATTCAAATACAGTTAAGCGACTGAAAATAAATATTGCTCAACACTGTTCATTGGTTTCCTTCGTGTTTTGCCGGCACGCGTTGCACTGTTGTTTAAATTTTGATTTTGCGTATTTACGATGTTTCCACAAAGAAGCTCGGTAACATATCGCACACCCACCTCCCACCAGCCGCCACCGGCCATAGAATTGGCCAAAAATGTGGACTATCCCAATCTCAACGTTGCGGATATGAATGCCCGGCTGGAGAACCTGTCACCCAGACTGCACGACTGCTTCGACAGCATTACCATGAATGAACAGCAGCATTTTGCATTGGCCACGAACCATCGCGATGGTAGCCAATGGTGGGACATGCTGTTTGGCTACAATCAAACGGAAAAAATGACCGTTGATAATGCGGACTTCAAGTTGCAATGCGATTCGACTGTGAACATTCTACGCTATGCTAATAACAATATACTGCTCGTGGCACTTGGTGATACTCGACTGCAGGCCTGGTCCACATATTCCACGGTGCGCAATGCACAGGCGCCATACTGTCTATTCCTCATTGGCGAAAGCGACGCACACAAGGCGCCCATTAATCAGCTCAGCGTGATCAGATCTAAGCCACAGCAGGCAGTGACAACCTGCCTTGATAATGCGCTTAATGTGAGTATTCTTTAATAACTATATCCCTATGTTAGTATTTCTAACATACGATTTGGTTACAGGTGTGGGATATTTCTGGCGCTGATTTATGCAGCATTTATCGTGCTCGCTGCGCTCATATCTCGAAATTAACAGGATTGGCTACTTCGGCAACAGCTGCTAGTCAATTGGTCACCTGTGATCGCGGCGGCTGTGCACGCTTGTGGGATATACGCGCTACATCGCCCACCTCCACATGCCTCTATGATGATAAGACGCATTTGCTTAGCTTCACCTGTGCCGCTTGGGCAGCGCCTACTGAGCTTCAAGGCGACAATTACGTCTATCTGGGGGACTATGATGGCAATGTGCATACGCTTGATATACGAGTGCCACGCAAGCTCCAACAAACTATATCCTATTTTAATGAGGCTCATGTGTCCCAGCTGCTAGTGAATAGGTAAGCGAGGAGCAGCAACAGCTCTATAAATTAAAAACCAAATTTGATTCTCTTGTACAGCTCCCATCTGGCGGTCATGAGCAACCAGCCCGCTGGAGTGAAGATAGCCAAGGTGACAGACGCACATGATGTTGTCTACACCAATGAGAAGACGCACGACCGTCTAACGGATGCCGTTTGGCGAGATGATCGCACGCTGCTGACCATTGGCCATGGACGAAAAATGGCAACACATAAGATATAGACGATAGATTTGTAATAGGAATAAATCAAATTAATATTTATTCCATAAAAGCAATGTATATGTGGCTTGGCTTAGCTGCCAAATATTTGATTATAGTAGTTTCATAACGAAATAATAAATGTTAACAATATTTGTATACATAATAAGTATCCATGTTGTAAATAGAATTCACATATTAAATTCCTAAATGTATGGACTTTTGCTTCAAACTATCTTTAGCTTTAGCCTTGTATTTCAGTGTAAAAAAAAATTGGAAAACAATTCATAAGATTCAATATCCATGTCTACAGTGAGCTCTTAAATATATTCTATATATCAACATATATCAGTTTAGATATTCAAATTGCTTAATTTACTTTGTATCAAAAAATTCGCGTGGCCAACTAAAAATTGAATTACTATAAAGCTCCAAATTCACAAGCTCAAATAAAACAACCACAAGTTCAGTTCACTTAACTATTTACATTTAATACCATTATTATGTTTCAATTATAATTGCGTCAATTAATTGTAATAATCAATTTAAGATTTGTGATTCATTCTTGTTCACCTTTGATATCCTTTTGGCACACAACGTTTAACAGAAGACGCAAATGCAAAACTTACACTAAACAACATGTAAAATTTAACAACCGCAGTAAAAAAAGCAATACTTTTTCAATAATTCTTATAAGTAGGAGTGTGATAAATGTGCAGCTTTGGCAGCTTTTTTCCGGGATGAGAAATGGGGGGAAAAATGTTTTCGATTAATTTTTCCAGAAAATTAAAACTTTTTCACATTCAGTTCGCGCTTATCTTAGTGGCGTCGCCGCTTGGTTGGCGGCTCAAGGAAATTGTTTTCCTCCTCCTCGATCTCCATTTGATCCAGTTTCATCATTTGCTTCGCCTTCTGCAGCATCGTTGTATCCCTTAACCAGGTGCTCTTGAGCACAGCATCAATTGAGGGTCGCTTCTCGGGATCCACAATGAGCATCTGTTTGATCAACAACTTGGCACGCTGCGAGATGCCCTGCCAGGCGGGATGGCGAAAACGGAAATTGCCCTTCTTGATCTGCTCGCCAGCCGGCGAGCCATACTCATCCGAAAAGGGTAAGGTGCCACTGAGACTGCAAATAGATGCACTTTAGATCCAGAAATTGTATGACAATTAATATATATTCAAGATACCATGTATATAGAACCACTCCCAGACTCCAAATATCCACTTTCTGAGTATAGGATTCACGTCCTCCCGTGATTAGCACCTCGGGTGCTACATAAAGAGGCGTGCCACAGAGCGTACGCATCACTGAATCCTTGTGCACAAATTTGCTTAATCCAAAATCAGATACTTTGAGCAAAGTATCCTCATCGCTGGACTCAAGCAGCACATTGTCCGGCTTCAGATCGCGATGTGTGATGCCTGGAAAAACGTGAATATTAATGAACTGTCATCAATATCAATATAAATGGCATACCTCTATCATGCAGGTACTTGACTGCATGGCACATTTGATAGAAATACAACTTGGAAGTCTCCTCGCTGAGCAGCTTCTTGCTAATGATACGGTTTAGTAAGTCTCCGCCGCGCATAAATTCCAGCACCATATAAACGGAGTCCGGCCTGTCTACAATATCGTGCATACGCACCACGCACGGATGCGATAGATTCTTCATAATCTTTGCCTCGTTGAGCACACGTTCCGGATCGTTGAGATTAGTATTCGGATGCGCGCTCACTTCCAGCATATTTTTCTTCACTATTTTCATGGCGAACTGCTCGCAGGTGCGACGATCATAGACGAGCCGCACCAACCCATAGGCACCTGAGCCCAGTTTACGATTTATATAATAGGTGGACGTGATTTCAGGTGGTAGGCCAATTGCTTCGTTCGGGCTAAGATCCTTGAAAACAAACGCTGAAAAACAAAGGAAAATGTTGCAGGTGCAGAAATTTCCATATTTTGCTGGGATTTTTGCAAACTCTGCAGGACTCACCTTTATAGGTGGGATGAGAGAGAGCGATGATGTCGTCATTTTGTAAGATGCGCGTTTTGTTCGTCCCAATTTTTTCGCCATTCACAAATGTTCCGTTGCGTGAGAGATCCTTGAGAGGGGAGGGTTGCAAATTCAATCGGATTCAATGTAGTTCAAATATATTTTCGGGCGCGCTCTTTGTTGCCTACCTGTATATAAACCGGATTTGTCAGCTCACAGTTAGCGCGCTTTATGATAAAATGCACCTTGGATATGCGCGATAGAATTTTCTCAGGTAAATCATTGAGCGTCAATATTAAATCATTCAGCTCACCACGACCAGCTGAAAATTCGTCGTTATTCAAGTCTGATAAGAAACGAAAAACAATAATAGAAATATGAGATGTAAGTGAACGACTACAAAATACTCTGGTACTAATTTATAAGCAGGAAAGTCTTTTTCAATTAATTTGAAACACGAGTTGTTAACAGAAGGAGAAAGAGCGAGACAGATTAATAGAACAGATAAGCTGTTAGAGACAGGCTGCTAAAGAGAGAAAAAATAGACAGGCCCTGAGAGAGCGAGAGCGACATAACGACAACGAGCCTATGAGAAACAGGCCACAAAATTAAGAGCAGGAAACATTAGAGCGCCGAGCGATATACAGCAAAAGAGCTTAACTTATATTTCTTTTTTAAAGATCACATACATACGCACTTTACTTAGAATTTAAGCAACATAACATAAGTAGACCATGAATTCATGAGAATCGCAGAAGAAATCGTTGAATTCAAATGTAACGTTTCGTTCATTTACGTTAAACTAATCTAATAAGAGTTGCCAGTTCCAAATAGAATCCCGTTTACAAAGCAAGCATATCAGCAGATAAACATATACACACAGACACATACATATACACATTGTATGTATGTATTTTTGTATATACATACATACATACATTTGCTTAAGACCATTGTATATAAACATATACATATACACCTTTGCAAACTTAATGTGCATTGAATTATCGACAACCAAAATATCTGTACATACATATGTATAAATAAGTAATATAAAAATAAACATTTAAATTTTGCATTTAACAGTTACCAACACTAAAGGACGAATGCGTATAGATTATTCTGTATGACTTGACGCTCGTACCGAGAGACTTGATTTTGATATTCTTTCCATAGAGCCGGCCCCAAACAATCTTTTCCATGGGCTGGCTCTCTACCTGGGTCCAAATATTGGACGCTTGGCTCTGGGTGCCCTGTGTGCCTTGTGTGTCCCGAGCCATGTTGTTTGTTTCAATTCTGTCTTCTGTTAATATTCGCAGTAACTGTTCCTTTCCTTTTAAATTCGCTGCGCAAATGTAAATGTGCAGTTATCCTAACGCACATACGCAGTCACACAAACACATTTACACATACACAGAGGCGGCACAACTCCTAACTTGAAATATATATAGAAGGTCGCGCCGCTTTGCAACAATATAATACATAGAGCTGATTGTTTACAATAAATTATTGCAGCGTTTGCAATATAATTCCAATTTAGTTTTCATACACAAAACACAATGTTACTGAGCTGCGCGCGACGTACAGACATATGTATGTCTGGATGTGAACTGTTTGACTGCCGCTGTCGAGGGCTGAATCGTTCAATTCATATGAGGAGTGTTGCACAATCTCGGTAAGCAACCAAGATATTTTGGTTTGAACATACTTTAACAGCTACATATACCTTTTTATAAAGTGTTTTTAGCATTCACTTGTGTTAAGCAATTATTTTTGTTTAATTAAATTTTGTTTTTCAATTAAATATGCGAAAAGCTGCAAGCTAAATATTTGAGTTTACTCATTTTGAAAGTTACCGATTGTCGATAGCAATTAGGCTTTTAATGCATCCCTTGAATTTGGCGCGCAATGCCGGCAGCTGGCCTCAGTTGATAAAGTCTAAGCAAATGGAAAACATTTGCGCTGCATTAGAGCCGCAATTTCCGTGCCGTGAATCGGCAATAACAACTTTAGCTGAGCTAATTGGCGACTGCAATGAGGCATATCCACCAGCTATTTATATCTATGGACACAGCGGGACCGGCAAAACCTCGCTGTCCAAAGCCTTCCTCCTGCAATGTCAACAGCAGCAAAAGGTGCGAACTGCCCAGCTGAATGCCATCGAATGCTATACAACAAAAATATTGCTGGAGAATGTCCTGGATTCACTCTCACAGGAAAATTCGGAGCAACAGTTGGCTGCAGAGTCATTGCGTGCTGATAATATGTTGGAATTCGTAGAGCAACTGCGTCGTTGGCATGGCAGCAAAGTTCGGGGATTTCTCATAGCTGTGGACAATGCGGAACGACTACGCGACATGGATGCGAATGTGCTGCCAGTGCTGTTGCGCCTGCAGCAACTAACAGGTCTCAATCTGTGCGTGCTGCTTCTCTCGCAGCTTCCCTTCGAAAAGTACTACAATAAGACGGGTCTCAGTGAGATCATCAGTCTGCATCTGGCACAGTACAACAAGACAGAAACGCTGCGCATACTCAGCAGCGACTTTGACCAGATGCGGCGCCAAATGCTGCAACAAATGAAGGAAGATCAACTGCATCTGGCTGAACAGGCGCTGACTCCCGATTTCTATAGCAACTATTTGAATCTTTTTCTGAGCGTTTTCTACAAGGCTTGCCGAGATGTACCCGAGCTGCAGTTGACGGCTCGCAAGTGTTTTGCCATCTATTTGCAGCCCGTGCTGGATGGCAGTGTGGAGTGCACGGATGTGTCGCGTCTCTGGCGGCACATAGCTGGGCCACTGCGTGCCGCCCTTACGCAGATCTATATGCGCATAGATAAGCCACTGGGCGAGCCGGCCGTTGAGGATCAGAGTGTGCGCAAGCTGGCCCAATCACTGGAGTTGCCCTATTATGGGAAATTTCTGCTTATCGCTGCATTCCTCGCCAGCCACAACTCCGCCAAGCAGGATAAGCGCCTGTTCGTCAAGCATCACGGCAAGCAACGCAAGCGCATGCAAACGGTCAATGCCAGAGCCAAGGTAAGCCAATTAAAGCTTAGATCATCAAAAATCAATCTCTAATGACTGCATCAATTTTTCAGAATGTCGACAAGATGTCCACGACGCTGGGACCCAAATCCTTTAGCATTGATCGCCTGCTAGCCATTTTCTATGCCATACTCGATGAGAAGGTCGGCCTCACCTGCAATCTACTGTCACAGATCTCCACGCTGGTGCACTTGAAGCTGCTCAGTTTTGTCTCTGGCGAACAGAATATCATGGATGGCTCCGCCAAGCTGCAGTGCACGGTCGGCTTGGACTTTGTCGTCCACATTGGTAAAGTGGTGGGCTTTAATGTGCGCCAGTATCTATGCGACTTTATGTAACAATTTAAAAGATTTATTATACTAACAGTCCGGTCTGCCTTCGCACGGATTTTGGCCGGATGGTCTTTAAATAATATTATAAAATTACAGATAGTAATAATATTATTACATAATTAATAGTCCCTAAATATATTTAACAAATAGTCAGGTATATCGCTAATGTGCACTGTCTCCGCCAGCTGTGTGTCCCGGCTACGCAACTGCAGCAATCCGTTGCTTAGTGTTTGCTGCTCGTCCAGGAGCAGGGCATAGGGCACGCCCAGACGATCGTACGTCTCCAGCTGTTGGGTCAACTGTTTGGCATTCGCTGCTAGCGCATATCCTTCCTGTTGTAACCTTAGTCTGGCACGCAGCAGCACATCTGTGACATGGGCGCATAGATCTTGCAGATCCACGGATCGAATTTTTTCAGTCTTTTGTATGCCGGCAATGGCGCATTGATAGGGTGCCAGCACTCGATTGAGGAGCAGCGAACGCGCCTCTCGACCATGATCACAGCCATCCAGCAGCAGGGCGCAGCAGGCGGGCTCCAGCTCAATCACCGAACGTATAACAGCGGGCAATTGTGGAGCACCAGTGCGTGCGTCTGGCAGCTGGAAGTCCTCACTCTCAGCCGGCAACTGCACCAAACTCAGCTGCTCGACCGTCACATCCCCAGCTGTGCCAAAGGAAGCGCGTATATCGATAGCCTGGCAACCAGCTGGTTTCTCCAGCTCCGCTTGAGGGACAATGGCATAGCGACTGGGATTCGAGGAGTAGCGCATCCACCAGATCTTGCTCTCGCGCTGCACATTGTAAAAGTGCTCCAAGCCACGATGCGGCTCCACAAAGAAATCGGTGATCAAATACGTGACGGCCTGGGCAGGCTGGAAAATTGATGGACTATGCTGTGTCTCACCGGTTCGTTGCTGCTTCAAAAGCGTGGGACACTTTGCTTTGCTGGGATGCGATTCCAGCAGCTGTTGGAAGTGCTGTCGAAAGAGTTGGGAGTGTACAAAGCCAAAACGTGAGAGACTCAATGCATCGGTAGAGGAACTGCTGCCCAAATTTACAGCCAAGGGACGCATGCGGAGCCAATGCTGCTGCAGCTGCTTGGCATAGGCAGAGCCATGGCTTAGTAGATCTATATGTGGAGTAGGTGCGTCGTGCGAGCAGCGAAAGAAGCCGGCGGCTTCTAGATGTTTAAGGCAGCGGCTGAGGCGAGTGGACATGGTAATTACTGTTCCAGCGGAATGTTGCCTGGCGGCGACACGTAGTAATCCTCGTCGGTTCGCTTGGCACAGCGCAACAGATCCTCTCGGCAATTGCCGGCTGTCACCTGGTCGTTGCGTAACTGCAGCTGCTGATGTTCCAGCACTGTGTACAGCGGTTGCACGTTATCCGTATTAATGTTCGCTATTTTATCTGCAAATTGTATGCTGCTCTTCAGGGTGGCCAGCGCTTGATCACTGTCCAGATCCACCAGAGATAAACGTTCCAGCAATTTAATTGTATTAGTGTCGATTTCGATGGGATTTTTGCTGGTGTCCTGAAAAGCCGATGGCACTGGTTTCTGTGGCACTTTTGTGGGATGACTTAGCTGCGTAAAATCTAGTTTATTATGTTTAGGGATTTGACTAGTTTGTATTGCAATTTTGCAATAAAGACGTGAGTAAATTCTCAACATTGTTGCACGATCTATTCACTGTACTCTAGTGTTGTATAACAATTCATATTTCCGCTAATATTTTTAAGTAACTATCGTATTTGTCGTGTCTAATCGAGTATGCCATTATTGGCGAACGATAGTTGTTTATCGAGCAGTCAACTCTGACCGGTCAGCTTCATTTTAGCGCTATTTTGTGTTTATTTTCTTTAAATACAGTAAAATGCCGTATGCCAATCAACCATCCGTGCAAATAACCGAGCTGACGGACGACAATGTGAAGTTTGTGCTCGAAGACACCGAATTGAGCGTAGCGAACAGTCTGCGACGCGTTTTCATAGCCGAAACGCCAACGCTAGCCATTGACTGGGTGCAACTGGAGGCGAATTCTACAGTTCTATCAGATGAGTTCCTAGCCCATCGCATTGGTCTTATCCCATTAATATCCGACGATGTGGTGGAGCGTTTGCAGTACACTCGCGACTGTATCTGCCTTGATTTCTGTCCCGAGTGCAGCGTCGAATTTACGCTCGATGTCAAGTGCAACGAGGAGCAAACGCGACACGTGACAACGGCTGATCTTAAGTCGAGCAATGCGAAGGTGTTGCCCGTGACGTCGCGTAATCAGGGCGAGGAGGACAACGAATATGGCGAGAGCACCGATGAGATACTCATAATTAAGCTACGCAAGGGTCAGGAGTTGAAGCTGCGCGCTTACGCAAAGAAGGGATTTGGCAAGGAGCACGCCAAATGGAATCCTACAGCGGGCGTGTGCTTCGAGTACGATCCAGATAATTCAATGCGTCATACGCTGTACCCGAAGCCCGATGAGTGGCCAAAGAGCGAGCACACCGAACTGGAGGACGATCAATACGAGGCGCCCTACAACTGGGAGGCCAAACCGAACAAGTTCTTCTTCAATGTGGAATCTTCGGGTGCGTTGAAGCCTGAGAATATTGTCATCATGGGCGTCCAGGTGTTGAAGAACAAGCTCTCCAATCTACAGACACAGCTCAGTCACGAATCGCAGAACGATGCGCTTGCAGTTTAGAGCACAATAAAAACATTTTTGTATATTTAGTTTATAATATAAAACAACACCTCAATCTTTAAACAAACTGCTTATGTTGACGCCCTCCTGTTTCACTTTGCTTGACTTTGACTGCTGTGGCTTTTGTTGTTCTTGTTGTTGTTGCTGCTTTTGCTGGTCTGCCTCCTGGAAATCGCTGAGCAGCGTGCTCTTGTTGGGCTCCTCTAGCTGCAGTTGCTCCTCGACTGCTTCGGGCTCCGACTTTTGCCGCTGCTCGGCGAGCAAATCGAGCGCCGTTTCGTAAATGCGTTGCTCATCCAAAGCACCCTGCGACTTTAGCTGGTCGTAGATCTGCACAAACTGTTGACTTTGTGTGCGTCTTTTGTGATCGAACAACGAAATCGTCTCGTGCGGCTTGTTCTGTTTGTGCAACTTACTGCGTGATGGCAAACCTACCCATTAGTCTTGAGGGCAATTAATATACATATGTATTTATACTCACGCTCGAACCACATCCTCGGCATAGAAAATGTTACGCACTGGCTCATTGGAAGCGGGCCTGTCGAAACGGGGCTCCAATTTTGGGGGAAAAGCCGCATAGACGTCGTACCAAATGGGTTTATCCTCCGTTTTCATAGCGCCACCGCGCAAAAGGCCCTGTACTCTATGACAAAAGCAATTAAATGATCTGAATTTCACCAGGCACTGCTTGCACTTACCTGGTGAAGATGGTACCGATTTTTTCCAGTCTACTTTGCGCCATTTTACTATTTTAATTAATAATAATTTGTTGTTAATATTACGACATGCGCAGCGGCAGGAAATACTCGATGCTTTTAGCTTTCGGTTCTTATTTGGTATATTCGGGCATTTAAGTATATGAGCTTGGGCGTTATTGCGTTAGACATTTCTGGTCACACTATTGCTTGAGCACGGGCCGCAGCCAGTGCAAGTGTTCCCCGAGTGCGTTTTTAAAAATCGTTATTTATGTGTGAAACAGGTGTAAAATATCCAATATTCGTTGTTCGCAACTTGCAATTGTTGTTGTTTGCCTAGTTGCTGTATGGCAAATATGTTGTTCGGTGCTGTCAACACACATAGCGAAAACTGTGCCATTGCCTGTGCGTGTACGTGTGCGTGTGCGTCGTATGTGTGTATGTGAGAGTGCGCGTTTAGTTTACGTTGTTTATTTTTTTTTGTGTTTTGGGGCTCTCTATCGGCATCTCGGGCAAAGTAATTGAAGTTAATTTAAAGAACGTTGGCTAAATTTCGTCAGCAATGAGCAATTATCAGTCGCATATACAGCAACTGCAGCTGCAACATCAGCTACAGCAGCAGAATCATCATCAACATCTTCATCATCATCAGCAGCAGCAACAACAAAATCTTCACCATCAACATCTACCGCCACATTTACAGTTGACAGCGACGGCTGTAGCGCTGCCCCAACAACAACAGCAACGGCATACGCCCACAGCCACCCCCCAATGTCAATCGACGTCGGCAGCGTCCGCTGCCGCTGTCGCTGCTGGTGCTTCAATTTTAGTAGCGCAACCGCCGCAGCCACTGATAAGCAATTCGCTGGCCATAAGACAGGAGATACAGCGCTTCGAGAGCGTTCATCCATCGATTTATGCTATTTACGATCTAATCGATTTGCTGCCTATGCCGGACGCGCAGATTGCCCAACAGATACGCGATCACGTCGTTTGCATTGAAGGTGAGTCCGTGTGTCAGTGTGCGAATGTGTGTGTGTGAGGGAGTGGGAACGGTTTATTAACAACAACAGTGCTGCCAGAATTTAAAAGCCGAAAAAAGCTAAAAGACTTATTAGCTTAGAATTAAATAAATGAATGAAAAAATATGAGTTTTTAATATTATTTAATGCTAGATAGTCAGGATTCCATTAAATTATTAATTATTGACAGTAAATGAAGGCCTATTTGGCTCTTTCTAGGCTTAGCTAGCTTTTTAAACTTTCAATAGCCAAATATTCAACACTATATTAATTGAATATAGTGAAAGAAAGGGAACAGTAATTTTGCTCTGCTTCCTCTGGCTCTGCCTCTACCACACAGTTTTTCTCTGTGCACTGTTAATGTTATTGGGCATTGTGGTTTGCTTTCGTTAACCATGCATACGTGTGTGTGTATAGGTAAGTGTGTGCTTTATGCTAATCTATGACCGAAAATCTAACCCCTTGCCAGTCCATTGAAGTGTTGCTCATTGTTGTACTCTTTATTCTTGTCCCTAAAAATGAAAGAGCTTCGTTTTTGTTTAAAACGAGCTTATTTCACACACACACATATATACATATATGTATGTATGTGTGCGTGTGTGTGTAGCATGAAATTTGATGCTCCCAAATCTGCCGCTGCCATTGCTGCTTCTTCTTCGTGGTAGTGCGACCAAAGCGAAAAAAAAAATAAAATAAAACCAAAAGCCGAAACCGTTCACAAAAAAAAGATGGAAAAACAAGAGAACTCTGTACTAGAGTGACAACTGAAGAATACCCTGTAAATAAAATAAAATATATGGTTGTGTATTGAAATATGTTTAACTGATATATTTTCTTTTAACTCTGAGTTTGTTTTACTTGAATTTAGATAAAAATTGGGTTTTAACTAGTTATTTATTATTTTTGGATAAATTTTGGATTGTACTCATTGTTAAATCTATGTAAGCAAAAATAGAGTCCCTTAGAGAGCTCAACAAGTTAATGATACATACATATGTACGTACATAAAAATATGTATATAATTTACCAAGTACATATATATACATATATAACACACGAACTCAATTTTTATATACCCCATATTTATTCATTACA